CTCCAATTCTTTCTGTCAATTTAACGGACTTGGCAGAAGTAAATTCATTTATCGGAAGTAATTTTTTTTGTAATGTAATATGTGCACGAGTTTCCTCTATCGAATCGTTTATTCGATTACAGCCAGAGACATGCGTGTGAAAATTCGCCTCGATTGAATAATGAAAAAACAAGTATATTCTACAGTAATTCTCAAGATAATACAGTTCTACCATAACCATGACCCTCTACCCATCCACACATGTTTGCGGTCATGCGCCTCCATTCAACAAAGACATTTGTTATGAAAAATATTCAGTGATTTTCCTTCCAGACCCTCTCTCTACCACCAATAAAAATAACAGTACACTTTAAAGGGGTATATTTGTTACGATGGTTATCTTAGAAATCATCTAAAATCCAATAAATGTCAATTAATGTCATTAGCAAGTGCACTGCTATCCAATAACGCCCATTAACAAAAGGAGAGATTGAAATGATACGAATTCCCCTAACGCGAGAAAATTCAATAGTGCGTTCATTGATGTCACTTAATTTTCTAACTCCTTTGATGTAAAAATACCCAAACTATTTCACTGGGAACATGGAGCCTCACGAGAGGAAGACCAGAAACATTAATTCTCTCTTCCAAGAAGAATGAATGAATGTTTTAATGTATATGAAAAATGTAAACACGTCCAGAGTTTGGAATGTATTTTAGATAGCATATCATGACATAAATGCAGGGAACACCAAATGAAAGGAATAGTACGATTCACTGTTCATTATTTAGCGGAAAAAGGCAGTCTTTCCTGTTGATAATCGAAATGTACGTGAATTGTCACATCACCGGAAATAACGCTAAATATATAGTTTTTTTTTCAATTTGAGTGAGTAATGAATAAAAGAAGTTTGTGATGGCTGAAACCAATAATTTTTTTTGTATGGGACAAATGAACCTCCATTTTACCACGACATTGTTTTTCTATTTTCTGGCTCAGTGACTGGTGCTGTCAACATACATTCGATATCCTGCAGGAGAGCCATGAATAAATCTCTTGAAATATTTACAACAAAAATAGAAAAAAATAAAGATTACCTCTCGTGTATTCATTTGAAAAGTACTCCACGAATAATCCGTCAATATGAGTGAAATGAATGGACTAGAAAGAATCACGCACTGTATCCAAACAATCACTCGGGATATGAATCAGATTGCATTCAATACATATATGTGTGTATATACTGGAGTGGCTGAATGTAGATAAACTTTGTGTTTGATGCACCCATAAACTGAGGAACGAACTGTCAGTCACAGTGAATTATTAGGGAATCACAGTGAATTTAATTTGGAATGGGGTAATGACACTTTTTTTCGTCACCGATGGATTGAGACACTTGGGGTGTTTATGTTGGATAGAATGAAGGAAATGAGAGCTTTTGATGATGAAGACAGATGCAACGCAAAGTAAAACTGTTGGTGCGCAGCCGGCGGTGTCGACTGTCGGGTTTACTATCCTATAGAGCAATACAGCTATTACCTACCGAGGCCTACAACCTCCCTTCTCTTATTCACTCATACTCACTCATGCACACTCATACTTGCTCATACTTGCTCATACTTTGCCCCCTCACACACTCATCACTTTTAACGCCCACTAGGCATTATGTACTAGACGCACTAGATGCCATGCCCAGGCTCTCGGGACTTTAACCCCCCACTTGGAAGCTATGCGCACATTCACCTACTCATTTTTACCTTTTTTTTTATTTTTTATTTACATTTTTCAGGTACTTCTTTGAACAAAAAGTACCTGCTTCGAAAAATCAGTTTGAGTCGGTGAAGACTGAAGACACCCTTCGTCGAGGAATCATCCAGAATTTCTTTTTCGCTTTCGTTTATATTGGTAAAAATGCATGCTTTGAAGTTGATAATATCTTATAGTTTGAGAAGGGAGATGCTTTGCTGAGGAATATTTTACAATTTTCTCTTGTTTTGGTCGCTTTTGTCGAAAAATACATGCCTTTGAAAATTGACAATATCTTATACGTTCAGAAGGAAAAAATGTTGTCAAAGGAATCTTCTATAATCTTTTGTTCTTTTAGCTCATTTTCGTGACAATCACATGTCCCTAACATCATAGATGAAAAGATAATCCATATTAAAACGACTCTAATTGCTGCCTGAAATATTCTTTTCGTTGTCGTTCTGATCGAATTCGAAATTGGCATACAAAGTTATTGAGAAATTTTATATTTCAAAGATACATGCTTAATGATAATAGAGTATTAGAAAACATTTTTAGAAAAAGACATTGAAAACAATTTGTTGGTAGAATATAAAAGGAGAGACGATCAAATTTACCAATAATATCATTTGTTTAGATGTCTTCAATGAATTCAATACCCTAGACAACAAATTGTTAATTCATCAACAAAAAAACGGTAATATTTAAAAAATAAAAAGAACGTCCTACTTAGGTTTATTTATTTAATACATTAATCCATCCGAATTATTTACAAGGATAATTAAATCTAGGGGTCGTTGGAATTATATCTCTTCAGTAATTGCATTTTGGGATGAAATTCTTTAGTTAATAACTCGGAATTGGGGGAAGATGGCCTTTTTTTGTGGATACATTTTTTATAGAGAAAGATGAGATCTAGAAAAGAGATCTATAAAAATATCATCGTCGTCCTTCAATTCCAAAATATTTGTTAAAAACAGGTTAAATAATAAACGTTTAAATCGTCGATTACCACTTCGCAACAGTTTTTATTTTGGTACCGAAGCGGTCATTTCAGTAGCCGAACGAACATTGGGAATCGATTTTTTTGAAAATGAGTTTATTAGTAAAACCACCTCTTGAAGGTATAACCCATTTTTAGCAGACATTGGGTATTAGATTAATTATTAAATTAATTTCACACTTTTTTTATTAATATATTAACCTACATTAGGTTAGTTACAGTCGTTTGATGAATATTATATATTATTTATTTAACTTGGCTGTTCTATACTAAACATTCGGTGCTCTAGATTCCAATCGTATTTGCTTTAATAAATTGAATATGTGTTAAATAAGTGAATATTTTTAATAAGTTCAAGTCCTTTGAGAAGAAGTAATTAACACCTTTTTTGAAATAAAAATCACGCGGATTACGTCACACTTTTTTTTACATCAATTCAGAAAGAGTTGTATGGCCAAAACGCGATATATTTGGATTATATATGGTTGCTATTTCTGTACATTCAAAAAAGTAAATTATTGGTTTTTTTACTTTTAACGAACGATATGTAAAACATGAGGAAATCATTGGAATTTTATTGATGATTTTATTACTATAATTTACGATATGAATTTTTTGTCTCAGGTGACTGCGGAATATTTATTGCGAATATTATTTATATAGATTCTACGTAAGTATCTTAAGCCGACATAATTTCTTAAGGAAAAACATTGCGAGGGATAAGTCGACTTAGTTGTTAGTGCGCAAAACAAACTAAGAGTTGCGTCAATACAAATTAATAACAAATAATCTACAGAATGAGAAACTTATGGATAATTATGGTTTTATTTTTTGAACACTCTCAGCGTTGAACCCAATCAGAAGATTAATGAAATTCATAAATGTACAGCCATTATCAGGTTTTCACTTTTCCTGCGAAATTTAAATTTCTCGTCTTGACCCACTTTATCGCATCGTTACTGATTTCAATTTGGGTACTACATTTTTCAGGATTTATTGAATATTTCGAAAAAAACATTAAAAAGTAGAAAATATTAAGATTTATTGTTAACACGGAATTAATTCAGGAAAATGACAAAATTAGTGATTCATCATTTGTTGGCATATTACATGCGGGTACATATATATCAATTATATATCTGACATATCGCATTCTTTACCTGATTATATGTGTGCATAATTCATACGTATACCATTTTCCATAGGGATCAGTAATTTTTATGTGAATTTCCCTCGGAATTTCCAGGTAAAAATTGCGCAAAACGTCAAATTTGCCGAGTAATTTCCGCAATTAAGCGAATTGCGAGTTTTGTAATTTTTACGGAATATTTCTCGCCGTGTGGAATTGACAAGTTCAGTTAATGAGTCCTCTGACGCCTGCGTCAACCTGGGGGGAGAAAGTTCAGAATATTATTAGCCATTTGCTACTGTATGTTGCCTTGCCAGCATCGACGTGTGTAGCAATCAGTGGCATGCACTTACATTCGACTCTAACCAATCATATTTTTCCAAATCTCGGGCATCTTAGTATGATTTTCAGGTACAGATTTTGAGCAATCGGAGTGCAATTTTTTAACACAGATATACTGGATTCTGCATTTATCCCGGATTTTTTGTACTAGTGCAAACTATTGGCATAAGACAAATAATCCGATAATAATTATAATTATTCGATAATTATTCTTATCTCGATTTTGACCAATCGACGTGCGGTATTTGTGGTAAATTCTGATTTTTACCAATCAGACTGCAGTATCCAGAGTCACATGACACATTCTAATTAATAATTAAATTAATAATTAAATTGATAATTAAAGTAGTAATTTTAGCGATTAATAACAATTAATAATCAAATTAATAATTTCTCCGGCCAGGGGAGATGGTCAGATTGATAATTTCCTTGCAGCCTGTCAATAGTTTTTTTTTTTTTACAGATTCGACACATATTTCTCACTTCATCATGTGAAATGTACCCCGTAACTCCGAATCCGCATCCTCAGTTGCAATCCGAACTAAG